TCGTCCCCCTCCCCTCCCCCACCTCCTTCTTCCACGAGGAACTCTTCTCCTCTCAGCAGCGAGGAACTCTTCTCCTCTCAGCAGCGTGGGTTCATCCTGTGATTCATTTGTGCGGCGAATATCTATGGAGTGCCTACTCTGCCAGGCACTGGGATGCGATGAATGTGGAGCTGAACCCAAGGCTCTCTCGTGGAACTTAGAGTCCCATGGACGAGATTCACTTCCACCAATGCCTCTAAAGTGAGAACTGTCATGGGAGCTGTGGACCGCGCACAGTGCCCTAAGACTTTAGAAAAGAAGATCTGACCTACACAGGATGGACTCTGAAGTCTCCCTGCAACTGGGCTTTCTCGAAAGAGCCAGGCACACGAAGGACAACGAAGGAACAAGCCCATCTCTGACTCGACACAACTCGGCTCCTGGAACAGGAGAGTGTAGAGGCCGCCTTCAGGCCAACAGGCAGAAAGGCCCCCAGTGACCCCCTGGCTGGATGCAGACCCATTGGGGGACCCACCTCAAAATAGCCACAGGCCCTAACTGACCGATAGGCTACTTACAGCCAGGTACAGTTACCAAAAAGGGGAGAATTCCATACATCCCCGTACCTGCTCACCTTCCCCCTTTAAAAACAGCCCCCACCCGCCGCCTCCTCGAAGACCGTCTCTCCTCTGCTGTCCTGCCCACGCTCCCGTGCGGGGTAGTCAATGAACTTCTGTCACCTGTGTTCTGCCTTAGGTGAATTCATTCCCTGCCTGCACTACAGGCTTCCACCTGATCCTCGCCCCACCTATGGGGGCCCCCATCCAATCAAGAGACACTCCATTTAGGCACCATATTTAGTGGCCTGTCCAAAGACTTTGTGGTTCCCGTACATTTGGGGGAACCCAGCACATGGAACTTTTGCCTGTCTGGGACTCTAGTCCTCCTTGGGGAACTGTTGGCCTCCAGCCTCGGTTACTCCTCAGTGAGGCTCGGAAGCCCCAGGGGGAACCAGCCAGACTGCCCTTGCCCGGAAGGCTGAAGGATGTCCCCTTTTCCCTTCGGAGGGACCCTTCCCTCCCTCTGGTTGCTCTTCTCGGTGCTTCGGGAGTCTAACCCTAGTGGCCCCTCAAAGGACTGAAGGCCTGGGCCAGGGCGGCTCCCTAGGGTGACTGGTGATCGGACTGGCCACGCCGAGAGCACGAAGGGCCCCTTACCTCTGCTTTCTGACTCTGACTGGAGGTCTGCTCCTAGAGTCCCGCGTCACGGGCTCCAGCTACCATCCTGGTCTGCAGGCCAACTGTTCCCACACGGCTGAGCGGTGAGTCCTCGCCTCCTCTTTCCCATCTGGTGGGTCTCGCTGCTGGGGGGACACCCCCACGGGAAGCGCCTTGCCATTAGCTGCAGCCCTCTTCTTGGTGGGACCCCTGGCGCGGTGGGACACCCCAAAAGAGTCTCCCTGTATTTGCACGACCCCTCTGGGTGATGGGACGCCCCAAGAGTCTGTCCTCTCGGATAGGTCTGGTCCTTTTTCAGGGCAGCAGGACGCCCTGACTGAAATCACGACCATGAGTCCGAGCTCCATTCCCTGTGGCAGGCTCCCCACTGGGGATCGGCGGCCAGTCTTTCCCCTACGGACACCCCTGTCTTCTTCCAACTCACTCTTAGGCTGTGTCCATCAAAGCTGGAACAAATCTGACCCCCAAGGGGAGGAAAAATGTCTCCCCTTTTTGTGTTTCCTGGCCTCCTTGAGGCTTGAGGAAAAACATCTCCCCTTTTTGTGTTTCCTGGCCTCCTACAAACTCCCAGATTAGGAGGCACGGCCCTCCCTTGGGGCTGTCTTCCAACGCTGTTCTCCAGCTGGACCTTTGCTGGAACGTCTCCCCGTGGTCCACTGTCCCATAGGTGTCTTGCTTGGTGTCATGGCCCCAAATCAGGACCCGGACCTAGGAGCCCCTTGCAGAATGTGTGCGGTCATCAACTAGTCTAAGTAACCCCCCTCCCGACATCCTGGATGCTGGCTGATTCACTGTTCCTCCTTCTCATGGATGTGGGGTCTTCTCCCTCATTCATTTCCCGGGTTCATGGCTATGATTGTTGGAGCCACTGTGGCTTGTCTACCTCGGGCCTGAGGCTTTAAGGAATATTCCCAAGCAGCTGCTGAAACTCCTTGTGTTTTGGGGAAGTTCCCCATCGATTCTGGCCCAACACAGACTGCCTACTCCCTCTTGTTGGCAGGAGAACATGGCGTCTGCTCCTTCATTCGAGCTGATGAGGCTTAAAACCAGGAGTCCTCGTTCTCTGCCCTCTGGGGGCACCTTGCCTCTTATGCCTCTCCTCCTGTCTCTGCACCACCTCGGGTGCGGCCTGCATAACTGACTTCCTAGACCACCTCTGTGCCTCCAACACCATTGGCTCCTTCCCCTCCCCCCCCATAGTCAAGGGTGAAGAGCACCCCCTCATATTTGCACCGCCCACTTCAGACTGCCCCAGCGGTGTCCCAGGTGAAAACTGACAATGGGGAACAAATTGATTGACTGTTAAGTGAACCCAGGTGAAATGTGATTTGATATCTGAACTAATT